CACCCATCACCATCCCTGGCAGTCGCCCACTGAGTCACACCTGGTGCACAGGGACTTATTTCTCCTAACTCAGTGCCATGGACCAGCATTTCCTCCCTCCTCCCCCTCCCCCAGGAACCTCACCAGCCTCTGGAGACACTGTCCTCCCCTCACCTGCCACAGATAAACTTTTGAGGATCCCACATGAGTGAATGGTGTGGCAGTGGTCTTTCTGTGCTTGTTCCACATAACTTGATGTCTCCCAGTTCCATTCATGTTGTCAAGATGGCGGGACTCCACCCTTGATGTGGCTGAATAATATTCTACCATGTACACAGGCCAGCCTTTCTGTATTCGTTCCTCAGCTGATGAACACGATTGGTCCCATTTCTTGGCTGGTGGGGACAGTGCTGTAGTAGTACAGGACTCTCTTGATGTACTTTTCCTTGAATATGCACCGAGCTGTGGGGTAACTGGATTGTAAGACAGTTCTATTTAATTTTTTTTGAGGAACCCCCCCACTTTTCCATGATGGCAGTACTATTTACATCCCCGAAGGGTGCAAGGGTTTCCTTTCTCACATCGTTGCTAGCACTTCTCTCTCTCTCTCTCTCTCTCTCTCTCTCTCTCTCTCTCTCTCTCTCTCTCTTTCTGTCTTGCATCAGTCATTCTAACTGGAGTGAGTTGATATCTCACAGTGATTTATTTGCATTTCTCCATGACTAGTGATGTTGAGCATTTTTTTTATATACCTGTTGCCCATTTGTATGTTGTCTTTTGAGAAATGTCTATTAAGGTCTATTACCCGTTTTTTAATTGGACAACAATGATGATGATGATGGTGATGATAATTTGCTGTTGAGTTTCTTATATATTTTGGATAGTAACCCTTATCAAATGGACATTTGGCATATATTTTATCTAATTCTGCAGTCTGTCTGATTCTTCACTTTGTTAATTTTTTTCCTTTGGAATGTGAAAGCTTGTTAGGTTGACATAATCCCAGTTGTCTATTTTTGCTTTTGTTTCCTGTGATTTGGGAATTTTAACCCCCCAAATCTTTGCCCACTCCAATGTTTAAAAGCATTCCTCTTCATGTTTTGCATTAAAACA